ATATATATATATATATATATATATATATATATATATATATATATATATATATATATATATATATATATATATATATACTGTATATACTGTATGGTTGGAAGGTTTCAAGTTTGAGATATTAGTATGACATCTAAAGTGTGTGTGTGTGGTGGGCTCATTTTCTGAATTATTGTGTATTTTTAAGTATTAATGTATCAATGAACAATTATTTTAGCAAAAGGCCAAAATTTCTGTATGTAAACAATACTGGACAGACAAAATATGAATAATTCATTAACAATATTTGGGCAAAATTCCGCAAAAAGACACTTTAAGAAACAAAATAGAAAATATACAGTATACATTATTTATTCAGAGAAACGTACAAACTAATTTTTTTACACGGAAATACAAAGTTTACCTAGGGTCAGAAACTAACAATTTTTGACAGCTAAAAACATATTTATTGCGGAAATAGTTGTTTAATTTTGTTCTCTTTTCGTCAAAATAAACAGCGTGTTAGGAGCCATATTAATTACGAAATCCTCAAAAAGACTAAACAATGAGACATTTATACACGTTTAATGAAGCGTGATATTATTGCAGCCAAAGTCACGAACAAGCCGGGCCTAAGGGTGACAGTTGCGGCTCATTCTCACCTCGTATTGGATGTACTGAATACGCCATTCCGGCGTCAGGTGCGAAGTTAGATGCTCTTGGAACTTCATAGTCACGAACTGCTGTCGAAAGTTAAATATACGTTATTATTACGTCCAATATCGCGGCCATAAAACTCGAAAATGCATGATTTTTCAATAGACTTGTCCGCCATATTGGCAAGCCAATGTCGTCATAATACAAGCCTGTGCTGAATTCTGGGACGGTTTTTAGTGAACTTTAGGAGAATTTTGCATTTGATCATTTTCACAAAAGCCTAAGTCTGATTGGACCAATAAACAATAAGAATCGTAACCAACCACAGGCCGCGTGCGTTATTTGCATAACGATTTTTAGGGGGCGGAGAGGGGGTGGCTGGTTGATTGGGCAAGAGCAAGGCGGATATACACTATGTATGAAGTCTAAAGTCTAAAAAGATAGAGGCTTTTGGGGCACTATATAGCTATGCTTTATAACAACTTAATTAAAATAAAAACCTTTTCTTGTTTACAATTAACAGGAGCCCCGAAAGTTTGTAAAACAGATTTCAAAATACCAAGCACGGCAGAATTATACAAGTGAAAGCCAAGGGCCTTACTAGCAAATATTAATACACTACATCTGCCTACATACCTATTTCACAAACTAATATGTAAGACTAAACAGATACTATACAGGCTACAGCCTCTTTACAAAGAAATAGTTTTGGAATGCAGACAGGGCTAATGAGCCGGCACCATGCAATGGTCCATGGTCCATAGCTGTCTAAGTCATCAATTCAATTCTATGCAGTTATAATTATAAAACAGTTTCACCTTGTCAGACTATGCCAAAAGTATTCGACGTTAATCACTTCACACTACTGTATATGACCAATATAAAGTATCTGTATGTCTATTAAATATTTGATAAGAACATACAATTAAGTCAAGTAGTTGTTTACTAACGGATAAAAATGAAGAGCTAATATCCCTACCTTTAGGCTTAAAATAAGGTCGACGGTTGATACTGTTGTTGAAAATGCAGTCTTTGTCTATATAGTCGATTCAAAACTCAAAAAGTTAACTCAAATGGACAGTTCAGTCTGGCCGCCACAAGCCCACAGCAGGGTGTTGTAATGATGCACAAAGATAAAAATTATCATTTTAAATCACTGCATAGTTGCTATTTAATGATCTTTGTCAAAATAATTGAAAATGACTGATAGAATTAAAAATCTAAATAAACTTCAAGAACAAACATGGACGCTTCTTGTAAGAGACAAATTTGCCAAATTTTTACCCGAAACAAAATTTTCCATACGTTATGGCCGTTTATTTTACACGACACACTGAATCATCCTTATTCCTCACAATTTATTAATCACACAATTTCCAAATTCCTGAATCTTTACCCCTCTGAGCTTAGAGGGTGACTATCCGCTGGCGTAGGAATACCGATAAAAAACATCCCATTTTTCAAAATTTAGCCTCGTTCGTGACAACGCCAGAAAGCAGCGGATTGAGTGGCGAAGAGGGATTGAACTACAGTCGAACTTCTATTAAGCGGCCACCTTCGGGGATCGGCTTTGTGGCCGCTTAATAGAGGTGGCCGCTAAATAAAGGCACGCAAATAATAGACCCTGGGCGTAGTCAATGCTTTTGATGTGTAAAGCTTTTGAGGTGTAAAGCTTTTGAGGTGTAAAGTGGCACGTGTTAAAACATACTTTTTAAGCCTTATTTTACAAATATTAAAAGCGAATTAGCTCGACTTTTGTTTTTGGCTCTCTTGACAAGGTGTTGTGCCAAGTAAATCCTGCTGACTGGCCGCTTAATAGAGGTAAAAATTGACACAAAACATAATTTGGGACCGCTCTTTGGGTGGCCGCGGCCGCTTAATAGAGGTGGCCGTTTAATAGAGGGATAGTTTAGTATTTGTATTACAAAAATTTCGGGACTTGGATATGTGGCCGTTTAACAGAGGGTGGCCGCTTAATGGAGGGCCGCTTAATAGAGGTTCGACTGTACTTGAAAAATACAAGCAGGGTTTTTTTGAAACTCGATCTTCTCATCAAAAGATTCTGTGCTGTAAAATGAAGTTGTTTGAGTTAAATTCATGACGTGTGCAAATTAGTTTTCAGTTGAAAACCCGAAAATTATGTAAAAAATGGCTGGAATTCATTTCACAACACAAGAAAAACAACGCATTCACCGTCTTTAACCAGTTTATAGTGTCCCTTATTGCCCCCCCCCCTGGGTTAACACATTGCATCTCAACTGCATAAAAGTGTGTGTGAGACAGCCGCCTCAGACCTCCAGCTGTTCAGCTAAACTCAATCTTCTCTGCAAAAACGGACCGAAGAAAAAAATCCTGGAAAAAACCCTGACAAGCAAAACCTCGAGAAAAATGTATCCTAATACAGAATAAGCTGATACACAGACAATGTAAACAAATATATTTCTCTATTTATATATGCATTTTTTATCTGTTGTGCTACCTATCCCTATCTCTTTTTCGTGCATCTAATTTCGAATGTAAACTCATTACTTCAGATTCGAGTCTCTGATTGGCTCTTTTTATTGTTTGGTATTTTGATTCGACCGCCTGAAATGAGACGAAAGCATTTATGTTAACTCAGCATACTTGTTAAATATTATTAATCCTAGGGGTTTCGTTGAAGGAATGGTAAATGCAGGGGTCAGAAGAAAATGAAGTTGACATTGCAGAAAAAATGAAAAAAGCAAGGTTGAGATGGTACGCACACGTGATATTAAGAAGAGATGAAGGAGAGCAGTCAGAGATATTATGGAACGAAGAGATCAGAAGAAGTGGTGTGGTAGACATTGCAGAGAAGGTGGGGGAAGCAAGGTTGGATGGCATGGACACGTAATAAGAAGAGATGAAGGGAGCTGGTCACAGACATTATGGAGTGAAGAGATCAGAAGATGTGGAGTGGTAGACATTGCAGAGAAGGTGAGGGAAGCAAGGTTGAGATGGTATAGATACGTAATAAGAAGAGATAAGAGAGAGCCGGTCAGAGACATTATGGAATGAAGAGATCAGAAGAAGATGTAGGGACGTAGACGTTGCAGAGAAGGTGAGGGAAGGAAGGTTGAGATGGCATGGACACAAAATAAGAAGAGATTTTAAAAAGAGAACCGATCAGAGATATTATGGAATGAAGAGATCAGAAGAAGATGTAGCGACGTAGAGCGACTTAGACATTTTTTATTTTTTTTTTATTTATAACAGTATTTCAGTAGGAAGCTACACTCACAACAAGGTGATTTTCAGGCAGGTCCTACGATATCAATTAAAATACAAAATTTAAAATACATTGCAGAGAAGGTGAGGGAAGTAAGGTTGAGAGGGTATGGACATGCATAAGAAGAGATTAAAGGGAACCGGTCAGAGTTACTATAGAATGAAGAGATCAGAAGAAGATGTGGGGCCTCTAAAAAGATCTAAATATCAAGGAACTGACGGTGGACATTGCAAGAGACAGAAAAGAATGGAGGACAACATCCCGAGCAGTCGACTTTAGTCAGTTTGGAACTAGAGCTGTGTAAATGAAGAAAAGATGTTTTGAATATAAATAACTTACGTCTAGTTTGTCTTTCCATATTTTCGTTATTCTGTCCGTCGCTTTTTTAAGATCTTTTATTTGATGTTCCTTAAAATATGCAAAGAAAAATATCAACTTTCGAAATTCTACAGTAACGGTAAACAGAGTTTAGCTCAACCCATACTCACCTTTTGTACTAAGGTATTCTCAAGGTCCGAGACATTCGATCTAAAAAATATCAGGTTTGATTTTTGTTCATTAACCAAGGCCCGTGCATCTACAATAAAGACAATAAAGTATTTAACAACTAGACTAAAATAGTTCTATGGACAACTCTATCAGTTCTAAAGACTGTGCTCTCCCTACAGCTTCCGTAAAGCCCATCTCTAGTTCATTGCTGTGTTACTATAACTACGGAAGGAAACTATCAGTTCTAAACTGTTCTTCCTATCCATTAAAGATCATCTCGTATTGATCCAGTGTTACTACGGGAGGAAACATAAACTAAACTAACTTTATTTATACTGGATATCTCTATCAGTTCTAAACTGGTCTCCCTAGAGGTCCAGCAAGGGTCATCTCTTATTGATCTAGTATTATTACAGGAGGAAACATAAACTAAACTAACTTTATTTATACTGGATAGTTCTATCAGTTATAAACTGTTCTCCCTAGAGGTCCAGTAAGGATCATCTCTTATTGATCCTGTATTACTACAGGAGGAAACATAAACTAAACTAACTTTATCTATACTGGATAGCTCCATCAGTTCTAAACTGTTCTCCCTAGAGGTCCAGTAAGGTTCATCTTTTATTGATCTAGTGTTATTACATGAGAAAACATCAATTAAACTAACTTTATTTATACTAGATAGCTCTATCAATTCTAAACTGTTCTCCCTAGAGGTCCAGCAAGGTTCATCTCTTATTGATCTAGTGTTATTACAGGAGGAAACGTCAATTAAACTAACTTTGTTTATACTGGATAGCTCTATCAGTTCTAAACTGTTCTCCCTAGAGGTCCAGCAAGGTTCATCTTTTATTGATCTAGTGTTATTACAGGAGGAAACATCAATTAAACTAACTTTATTTATACTAGATAGCTCTATCAGTTCTAAACTGTTCTCCCTAGAGGTCTATAGTAAAAGACTGTCTCTTATTAGTCCAATGTTACTGCAGGAGGAAACCGGAATCCCTCTTGAAAACCTGCGGTGTTTGACAAAGTCAAACTGGAAGAATTCTACTCGCATGCCACTTCTCACAGAGCTGCATACCTTCCAATTCTTTTTGATACATGTGTAACTTTGCCTCAACTTGTGGAGATTTTTCAACTGTTGTTCGTAAAATGTGAATTAAATCCTGAAGCTGTTCTTCTCTTTCTCCCATTATCAGCAGATTTCTGGCTTGCATGTCAGCCTTTAAGTATAGCGGACGTAAATCAGTGATAATTATCACTGTTCATGACATCGTACGAGTATAACTAACAATATTTTCTCATTACAATTCGTAGTCAGTATATACCTGTGACTTAAGGGCAGTGTTCTCTTTTTCTAAACTTCTTAGAAATAATAGATCTTTTTCAAGTTGAAATATCTTCGCTTTTGTCTCTTTCAGCTCCTAGAAAAAAACCCACAGAAATTACTGTAAAACTGCTGCACAATTCGATTCTCGTGGACTACACGCGAGACTACACGCAGTACGGAAGGCAATGAAAAGTGGCGGGAAAAATAAAATACGCAGTCTACAGTCTACAAAAAGTTTAAAAAAAAATGTCTTCAAAACAATTCGTTAAAAAGCACGCCAAAATGAGGAAATTTGGAGACTTTTAAACAAAGTATCTTTTAAACAAAGTAAGCTTGGTACTGTACAAAATGCTGAACTATGTGTTTGCTCTTTTGTGAGGGCAATAAAACGACGCTTATACATGACCTAAACGACTAAATTTCATACACGAGGAAATTTTGGTGGATATCCTTGATAAGCCTATTGGACAACATTCAGTTCGGTAAGTTTTCGATATTCCCGATAGAATTTATCATAATTATAGTTTATCTATCTTCGGCCTCGAGAAATATCGTCATTTCGGGTGATATTTCACCAAACAACCTTCGCTCCGAATAATATTAAATACAAAATTACAAATGAAAATTTGCAACTTGAACGTTCCAGACGTGTTTTGACCTTTGCAAAATATCGGTTGAATACAAAACAGAACGATTTCGATCATGTACTGAAGTTTCACAGTATGGTTTCTTGTCGTTGTTTCAGACGCACACACAAAACCGGACGAAATGAAAACAGTCTCTCAAATTAACCCGGTTCCATTTGTTTACACGCGAGAATTTATTTCTTTGGTTTCTTGGTTTCCTAGAAAATTCTACACTTATTTTGGAAGATTTACACACTATATGGAAGTGTGCAAAACTTTGAAAGTTGAATTTCCAAGTATAATTTCTATGACATACCGTAAACCTCAGAATTTATATGACCCCCCCCCCCCTCCCCGCCGAATAGACCCATTGCACTGACGTCATAAATCCTTAGAATGTCCTCCAGATGCTCCCTAACAATATCTGTTCAGGTACAACAACCACCGCATACAGCGCAAAAATTAACCATTTTAATACAAAATTATTATAAACTTTTGCAAAATTTGCTTTGTTTACAAAAGTTATATTATGCATAGATTGCTAATTTGTCCTCCAGATGCATCGTCACCGGCGCTGTGACGTCATGTGCAATGGGTCTATATAAGCCCACCTCCCCCTGCGTATAAGCCCACCATATTCACTAACGCTCAGGCCATTCCAAATATAAGCCACTCCCCGAATATAAGCCACTTCGTATATACGCCCATGGGCTTATTATCGGACAGGTATTTATTAGCGCAGCGACGGAGATTCTAACAGCTCAGACAAGTGACGTTAAAAAACTTGCTTTATTATGTGTTATATACTGTATGTTTACATTTCTTTTCCTTCACAGTACTATATAGTTCAGGGATGGATCCAGCATGATCTGGTAGGGGGGGGGGGGTGCTCTGCCAGCTCTGGTGCCGAGTTGTGTTGGTCATGTGTGCCGCCCGCCCATCAACTTGCTTCACTACTGCAAAGTCTTGCTTGACTACTGTATTTGAATTGTAATTGTTGTTCACAGTTCGCTTATCATCATGTTATTACTCAAATCACTGTATCTCATTTTGTCTCTAATAATTTTTTGCTTTATCATGAAAAATAGCACCCCCCCCTGCACCCCCTCTGGCCAGGGCTAGGGGGTGCAACCCCCCCCCCGCAGTAAATCCATCCCTGCTATAGTTTACAGGTACAATCAATATTATTACTAGCATGCACCAAAATATGAATGTCGTCCGTATATAACCCCCCCCGTATGTAAGTCTCCCCATGTATAAGCCCATCAAAACCGTGCACAATTGACGATGGACGGATCTGAGTACGTTTCATTGTAATAATTGTTTTGTGTTATGAACGCGGCATACCTCCTCTAACTTTTCATTTTCTGAGCGAAAATGTTTGACCTCGTCTTCAAGTTCATGTTTCTCTGTGGTCAATCTTTCGTTTGTTTTTGATAGATTGCTGTATAAGAAAGAATCGCATAATGCATGACAGAGATTGTGAATGGAGATGCTAGTTAAACTCGGAAATGTTGTTACTGAAAATCTTGATGTTTTGCCAAATTGCCTAGACTCTGTAGCTCAGTTAGCCTGCATGGCAGGCGGTCCCTAAAATCGGGCAAGCCTGCCATGCAGGCTATAGCTTGGTGGGTTAGAGCGCTGCACCGGAATCGCGGGGGCGCAGGTTCGATTCCTACCAGAAGGCCCAGAGTTGCATTTTTCACAACTCCTCCTGGTTAAGTCTTTAGAAATGTATAAAATTCACACTCGAAAATTTCCATCCACAAAACCCTATTTTAACTATGCTCTATAGTTCAGATATAGTTTGGCATTAAGTACATGCATTAGTATTATTTAATACTTGATTTACCCAACAAACGCTTGGAGCAAAAAATGTCCGACTAACACCGAAAGTTTCCAATCAAATTTCATTTTGGTCGTACATGTACTTATATTTACGGAGAATTATTGAACGTGTTTTCCTACGATTGATACTGTTCTTTCTGCGAAGTATTAGTGACAATAGACCCTATGCATAATGACGTCACAAGGTTTGATGCCCGTGAGGAATGCTGGTCTTAGTAGTCATCGCCTGGGAAAATTTCGATAGTGGCCATTTTGAATTGTTTAATTTTCCCGGGCGATGACTACAAACACCAGCATTCCTCGCGGGCATCAAGCCTTATGACGTCATTATACATAAGGTCTATACCTCAATGTTTCTACTTGTTGTGAATTCCAAGATTCCATTCTTTCTTTGAGCTGTCTACAAAATATTTGCACAAGATAAGTATAGAACTAAGTAGCGTCAATAAAAGTCCAAGGTGGAGATATTTCGATCTAAAAGTACTCATTTAGTATACCTGTTTTCTTTCTCTTTCTCTTTGTATGACTGTTCCAAGGAAGAGATTTCTTTTTGAAGGATGTTGAGTTGATCTTTCTATAGAATATTACAACATAAAGCCCCAGTCAAAACGTGATGAAAGTTGATGAGAGTTGCACTCCCGTTCCGTTTGAACTCTCAAACTGCCAACTGGTTCAAGTTTTGATGAGAGTTTTCGCTACGCGCGTGGTAATATCCAGTCAAATCCAGGGTCAAAACCAAGCCCGAAAAAAGCGGCCGGTCACGGACATTGTCTGGTACGAAAAGGTAATTGTCCGGCACAACTGTTTTTTGCTGGACAGTTGTCTGGCAGCATATTAATACAACTATATTGGTGAAACTGTCTACAGCTGGCATTAAAAATTTCATTATAATATTTCCGAAAATATTTGCATTCCGCATTTAAAAAGTATGTGTACAAATTGTCCAAATAATGAATGTCCAAATTTCATCGCGTATGAATATTAAGACAATATGCCTGTGAAAATATGCGATTGTTGTTACTAAGTTTTTGATTGGCTTCATTTATTTCAAGGACCACGAAAAATTATATTTGCTCGATTGCGTTAATATTTTTTGTCGGGCACAAAATGTCCAGTGTCAGGCACCAATCAGTTGGTACCTTACGTTGGAAATTTATTTTCAGGCTTGGTCAACTCTCATGCAACTCTTGTTCTCGTTTGACCATACAGCCAAAAATCTTAACCTAACATGTCTGGGTAATTTCATGGTGCACAATATTCTTAACTATATACGAAATACTTACCACAGCAGATAGTTCCTCCCTGACAGCATTTGCCTGGAAAACCTTGCCAACCAGTCTTCTGTTTCTCGTTGCATGGAGATCGCATTTATGTCTTTCAAATAACAGTTCACTCTGCAGTAAGAGCTGTTCTTTGCGGAGTAATTTCATTTCATCCTTTGGAGGCGAACCTACAACATGAATAATGATACGTTCTGGATATACACTATATTGCTACGTGTTCTTCGTTGTACGTGTAATTGACCATTTGCGTAATAGACCAAATTTTGAACTCAACAAGTCTAGACAAAAATTTCATCACAGCTTGAAAGAGCATCACAAAATTAGTAATATTCCAAAGTTTCGTTGAGAAATTTTGTAAAATGTCGATAATATAGCCTTGCGAAGTTTGCAATTTTCAGTCATTTTAGATTACAAACGGGAAATTGACAGCCTCAAAGCGTATCGGGCTGTCAGTTTCCCGTTTGTAATCTAAAATGACTGAAAATTGCAAATTTCGCAAGGCTATATTATCCGCATTTTACAACATTTCGCAACGAAACTTTGGAATATTACTAATTTTGTGATGCTCTTTCAAGCTGCGATGAAATTTTTGTCTAGATCAAAATTTTGTCAATTACGCAAATGGTCAATTCTCATTAATAATTCATGACGCAAACACAAAGGAAATCACCACCGCGAAGGAGCTTGTACATCTGATACAAAACGGACCTCAATCTCCAGAAGGAGGGGGGTAACTGGTCAAATTTTCCAGACGGTAAACAAATCTCGTACCCAGCGCAATGCCTGTGCGCGGGCTAGGAAGGCAATGCCTGGTAATCGAAGAAAAAAAGGGAGGGATGCTGTTTCCTGAGAGATTAAAGTGTGAAAATCCATTGCCAAAGGGGGTTGAAGACTCTTCCAGAGAAGTCAGTTACACAGATTTTTTTTCATTCCAGAGCCCGGTTGTATGAAAAGGTAGTTATAGTTAACTATAGTTAGTGCGAAAGTTATATAAACCCAATCAAAATCGCGTGCTTTAAAGTTAACTACTATTTAATTACCTCCAAAATGGGTCCATTCAGTTCCCTCCTGGCTTGTCAGTGGTATACTACAAAGATAAACAGCTCTATTTTCTTTGCGATACACGAGATTTTTCCGAACTCATATTTTTTTTGGACACAAAGTTCCGGAATCGAAAGTTCCAGATCTCTGATAATTTTGTATGGGACTCGATTTCTACTCTATCTCTGAAAATTTTGTATGGGACTCGATTTCTACACTATCTCTGATAATTTTGTATGGGACTCGATTTCTACTCTATCTCTGATAATTTTGTATGGGACTCGATTTCTACTCTAACTTTGATAATTTTGTATGGGACTCGTGGTCATTAGTGTAAACGGCAAAATGAATCCGATAAGAGAACAGCCCGGATTCGAAACATCGTTTCCGCAAGTGTAAACGTAGTCTGAATCTATTTCCCAACACCTACCTATTTAGTTTCCCTTGTTGCAAATTCTGCCCAAACAGCAAATAATGATTGAGCAATTGCGCGGGCGACATTTGACTTTCCCAATCCGTATTTTTCTTGCCGGAACTGCCTGAACAACTTCCCAAACATTGTCTACAAATATTTGTCGTGAATGGTTGCAGCGTTTCGAGCAAATCCCAAGGCGGTTTTGACATTGTGAATTTCTCCGTGGCTGTTCTATTTGGAGTTTCGGATTTTTGTTCCGTCGACTCGTGCGCCGAGTCGTCAACTTCCGGACTATCTTTTTTGTCATATTTCCCGGCGTCTGTATTTCCCTTTTCTTTATAAGTCGGGGTTGTTCTGGGGTTTAATAAAATTGGCGGAGTGTTTCGACCACAAGTTGAAGAATCGTCAATGACCGCAAAACTGTTAGCCGTTTGATGGTTGATGCTTGATCGCCTGGACTGGTCCATTGGGGTAGTTAACCTTTGCTCACCCACCTCCTGGTGAGATGGGTGAATATGTACGGGAGTAGTGTGGCCTATTGAGACGTCGAGGACACTCCCAGAGGGGGAGGTGTTTTTGGAGGAGGGGGGTGTGGATAGACTACATAAGGTGGTGGGACTATTAAACATTGCGGAAGATGCAACCAGCGGGGTGTTATTGCTCATGTCAGTACCACTGTCAACTGAGCACTCATCTTGTTGGTATGCTGTATTTTGTAACGAGGTTCCAGTCTGGGTTGCCATGTCTAATCTTTCATCCTCACTTGTAGTTTGTTGCATGCTGTTATCGGAGTTAGTTAGGACTCCCGAGCTCTCGCTCATGGTCACATCCGACGAGCTTTGTCTTGATGTGCAAACCGATGATAGAGTTTCGCTCTCCTGAAGTTGACAAGAGCTAGGTTCTAGCGAGACTTTTTCACAGTCAATGACTACATCATGTGCCTCTTTACTTTGCCATCTACATTTGCAAGAAAAATCTACAGTGCTACTGCTCCGAAATAACTTGCAAGAAAATGCAAGATGGTGGTTGTGATGATGATGATGGTAAAACGTATGATGGTGATAATTATGATGGTGATAATTATGGTGTTTTTAATGGTGATGATGGTGTAGGTGATGATGGTGATAAGTATGATGGTTGTAGTAGTGGTGATGACAGTGATACATTAGTTGTGATGATGGTGATGTTGATGAAGGTGATAATTATAATGGTGGTGATGGTGATGATGATGGTGATGATGATGGTGATAATGATGGTGATAATGGTGAAAATATGATGGTGGTAGTTAGTGGTGATAATGATGCTGATGGTGATGATAATTATGATGGTGACAGTTGTGACAATGATTGCAGTGATGATGGTGGTGATGATGGTGAAAACTATGATAGTGATAGTGGTTAATGGTGATGATGTTGATAATGGAAGTGGTGATTGAATGATGAAGGTCCAAAATCACAAAGAATGATTAAAGTATTACCTGCTTTTCCCAGTTTCAGTTTGTTCACTTTCAGTAACCAGCCAAGGATGGAATTTGACCCATCTTAAGAGCAACTACAGGAAATACAAACTGTATTAAACTAAACTAAACTAACTACTGTATATCTCTGTCAGCTCTTAACTGTTATCCCAGGAAATCCAGAAGGCCTATTCCTTCCTTATTTGGTGCAGTGTTGTTAGTGAGGAAATCAGAGTACCAAGAAAAAACATGTGTTGTTTGGTAGAGTCAAATTGAAAGCACTCAAACCCTGGCTAAACCCAATACTCATCATGAAAACGAAGCTCTACAGCTGAGGCTGAGTACTTTCCGAAGGGTGTATTGCATTGCAGTAGTAAATACCACACAGTTGTTAATCATTACCAATTAACCAAAATACCTCAATAGATCTGTGGACATCTTTCCCATGATTTGACTCGTAAAATGACTTCATAAATGCAACAGTATTGTTTGGATACATTGCATACAGACGGTGAAAAAATATATACACACCAACTTTTAAATGAAGTAGATGTGTATCTGGAGTGATACCTGTAACATAATTTGAGTAATGTAATAACATAATGAAAGGAAAAACCTCACAAAAAAGAGGAGAATTACTGACTATTTTACTCTGTGTTAATCTGCTTTATTATTTTACTCCCTCTAATGCCAGACAATTTTACTCTGTCTAACACCCAACAATTTTACTCATCAAGGAAAGAGTGCTGCTACTCAATGGACCATTTGCATTATAGACTAAATTTTGATCTAGACAAAAATTTCATCACAGCTTGAAAGAGCATCACAAGATTAGTAATATTCCAAACTTTCGTTGCGAAATGTTGTAAAATGCAGATAATATATATAGCCTTGCGAAATTTGCAATTTTCAGTCATTTTGTATTACAAATGGGAAATTGATGCCCCAACACCCGATTGGGCTGTCAATTTCCCGTGTGTAATACAAAATTACTAATTTTGTGATGCTCTTTCAAGCTGTGATGAAATTTGTGTCTAGATCAAAATTTAGTCTACAATGCAAATGGTCCATTGTGACATTTCGATCGAAATTCAGCACAAAAAATAACGAACCTCTTTTTCTTGCAGTAAACAAGAAAAGTCTCTCAAAGATGTCATAAAAATCCACCAATAATGAGCCAACCAAAGTCGGCACAGATGGAAGTAATGACGTGATGATCAAGACCCCGGTCATCAATGTAACAACGTCATTATCAACCTTGCAAAGTAAATTTCAAAAATTTCTTAGGGAAATTCAAAAGAAACCTTTTTGAAACACTAACATATTAATTATTTCATATTTCAATGAACTTTTGGTAATGGAAAAATTAAGCTGAATGATTTGAAGTTACCATAAAGTTTAATCCGATTCGTGGCTTCAAAAATTCTGCAAGCGCATTGCTATCGCGTTTGATACAAAAATCTGTTGACCCCGATTTATTTTGGGCGAAAATACCACGCTGCCATGCAGTTTTACTTTCTACAAAACATTGTCTAAAGACCGAAGCACATAGATTTGATAAGTAAAGGAGAAGCTCAAAAAGGAATAAAATAAATTCTGAAATTACACTGAAATAATTTCGCCTGCTTCTACTTTTAAAATACGACATTTCCTTAAAATTTCCTTGCCAGAGTTTTGACTGCTGGACCTGGAACCGGAGCTAAAATAACCGGAGTCTGCACAGCTCTAGCCCAAATTATGTGAATACAAAGTCCAGACAGATCACCCGATTTTTACTGGAAGTTAAAGTACATTTGGATCTCTTTGAATGCAGAACTGACATGCCACCCATCAAAATATGAACATTTCTTTTGATTGCTTGTGCCATTCTCTTACCTTTAAACATTTGATAAATGAATTGAAAAATGCTGTTGAAATTATAGTGTGAAGCCATGATGGCTGCAACAAAAAAACAATGTATTATTTACACTTGCAGCTCTCACTTTTGCACAAATGGCGCAAATTTAAGTCAGGATCTTGCCGGACGTACCTGTCGCTGAATAATGTTCCACAGTAACAGCAAGGTAGGATATTTCGTTTCAGGATGTTTCAAACTTTCATTCATTTTTTCAAACAAAAACTAAGAGGAACATTGGATATGTTCACCAACAATCTCGTATCCAGGGTATTTGCAAATTGGAGGTGGAGGTATCACTAACTTTCTAATTCATCTACCGTAATTTCTTAAATTTATAAATTTACTTAATATTTTCATAAATTTATAAAAAAAATTTTAATTAACTATAATTACGGCTTTTTAATCTGAGCCACTCGAACATTTTCACTGATTATGAAAACAATTTACTAATAAAACAGTTATTTTGCCAAAAAAATAGTGTCACACCCCACACCCTATAGCTGCGGCCCTGCATTGGAGCCTGTTTTCAACCTGAGTGGTTTCAATGTGCATGTTCGCCAGATATATGTGTGGATAAAAAGTGTACAGTTTTTTGGCAATGAAATGTTTGCAGTTACAAATCCGAATACATGTACATGGGGCCTAGGTCAGACAATTGCTAATGACTATCAGGCTTATGTACTACTCATATCATAAACGACTATTAGGGCTAGCACAGTAGCATCCCAAAAACTGCCGAGGCCCATCCATTTACACAATACAATTTGTTGTATAAAGGCCCACTTACACGGTACGATTAGTTGTATACGATTCGTACCCTGGCATATGTGATCGAGTAAACACGCGTACAAGCGTCACATTTCAAATTTCCCCATTAGCGAATGAGCAATAACATGGCATTAGCACTTGTTTTCATTCGTCAGAATGACAATCGTATACAACTAATCGTATCGTGTAAATGGGCCTTAAGATTGTCATTCTGGCGTATGAAAATTACTGCTGACGCCATCTGGCATCTTTATTTGAGTACATATGTCAGGATAAGATTCATATAATTGTATCGTGTAGATAAGGACTTAAAACAGTTGGCTATACTTGGCTTTTAGCCAATCAAACCACAAATGTTATGTCCTAGTAGTAATATTAAATGCAATCATAGTACAATCAAATGATTTATTTTTTATTTTGCCATAACAATATTATGGTATCAACCAAATTTATAATTATACCATATAACATCTAAAAGAGTACAGAATCACCCACAACCTATCCAAGATAATAAGCATATGCAAATCATTATACATACATTCACATGACTTTGCTGACTCTGGTCCAAAAGTATCTCCCCAGCCGTGGTACAATTGCTTCTTACGTACAGATTAAATAAATCTCCTAGTATTGCATGGCACTGTCTTGATCCTGATAACAATAACTGATGTATCCCCTCTTTGGCATCAGCTGATTCCTGGATCACAGCCGAGTTTAGTTTCGCCAAGGGCACTTTCCAGTCAGGCTTTGTTTCATCCATTTCGCTTGATGTGATCACACTCGTAGAGCTAGCCATATTTTGAATATTGACAACTGTGTAAAAATTACCTTCTAAACAGCACGTTCCGTGCTACATTTTCCGGCTTTGATCGCAAATATTGACGAACAATGACTAGACATTAACGTCTTCAGCCATTGTATACAGTGCACCATCACAAAATAGCTTATAAATTATAATTTGTTCAGCGATTAACTCCGAGAACTATCCGAAGAGAACCGAAGAAAATTATTAACACATTTCTCCATCTTCCCAAAATGACGTCACGCACGCACCCCACACCCCACCGCAAAAATCGGGCAATATGCAGCAACTATCTGAACCAGTGTAGGTAGTACCGATGTAAAAATGCTGTGCTGAGTGGTTATATTACTACCTTAAAAAATAAGCAGAAACTCGACGTTTCGAGCGAAGGAATACTGTATTTTTGAATACACCCGGACATGCTCATTAGCACGGTCATACAGATATCAAAATCCGGCAATAAATCTAGCATACCCCTGAGCTAATCTAGCATAGCACAGACCGCTGCGGATAATAAGTATACCGAAATCTGGTATACTTTTTAGCCACAGACAGCCGCGGCTAAAAAGTATACTGAAATCTAGTATACTTTTTAGCCACAGACCGCCGTGGCTAAAAAGTATACTGAAATCTAGTATACTTTTTAGCCACAGACCGCCGTGTCTAAAAAGTATACTGAAATCTGGTATACCTTTTAGCCAAAGACCGCCGTGGCTAAAAAGTATACTGAAATCTGGTATATTTTTAGCCACAGACCGCTGTGGATAAAAAGTATACTGAAATCTGGTATACTTTTTAGCCACAGAAGTTACTATCGCAAGTGCTGCGGTTTTAAACCAAAGTCAAACTTAGAAAATTTCGGGCCATTTTTCGCTTTAGATCGACTTGGAAATGTTCAAAACGCATATTCAGTGGCGTGCTGGCAGGGGGGGCCGGGGGGCCACGGCCCCCCCAGCTGGCAATTTTTGGGGGGCGCAAAAATGAAAAGGGGGCGCCGATCCTGCTTGAAAAAATATAGTTACTTCCACCAAGAAAAAATGTGTTTATAGGCTTATAAACAGACTGAGCGCATAGGCGACAAAGTGATATATTAAATTACAGACTATTTTGTCTAACCAGCCAGTATTGCTACCTCACACGAAATCGTTCATATAGAAACATGATCAGTGATCACACGCAATGTCGCATTACCGGAATATTGGCCAGGTTTCGAAGCGATCACGGGAATTATGCCCTTTTTTGCTTGTATTATGCCCTTATATTATGCCTTTATATTGCTTCACGAATCACGAGAGCAGCGCAAATTAGATAGTTATGATAATGTAAAGTTGTGTACGCAATTTAGTTGTTTGAACAAGAAACATCATAACTCATCGAGTAATGTGAGTAGTAAGATAATGCTGAAACGCGCGCCCTTTTGGCAGCCAGGCAAGGAAACCATAAACGGCATGGTGTACCACTGACATCGACGCGCACCGATGTGCAGATGAACTGCTCAACTTTGCAGAATCTTTTCAAAAATCGAAGTGTTCAGTGATTTTTGATGAAGACCGAAAGAAGAAGAGAAAGATTCTGATTTAGACACCGGTTCTGAATCTGAAACCGAAGACTACGAAGAAGAAACCGACAGCGAGTCAAGCGACGACGGAACTGCTGAAGAACCAAAGGACAAGGATAAACAATCATTTCTAGAAGCTCTGAGAATTTTGTCGAATCCTGATTACCACCTAGTTGATGCATTTCCAACTCTTTGTAAAGTTTACGCGATCGCAGGTGCAATTCCAATCAAACCCGCACACGTTCGTCTTTGTCTCAAGAAAAACTTGAAGCATTGCTACTTATGACCGGCACTGAACGGAAGATTTTAATGTCTTTGAAAAAGGAGCAGATTATTACCGCCTTGGAGGTCTGACATCAAAATTGTCGAAGGCGCTTATATGAAAATGTTTAGAAATGCTATAGAAATCGACAATGGTTATTGAAACATTAAAGACATTGGAGAACATCGATCGATCGATATGGGCAATACTTGACGTTATCAACATTCGATACAACACGTGAAAAATAGTACTAACTATCAAGTGATATACTGTATAGTATTTTAAAACTCTTTTTGTATGTTTTGACAAAAAAACATGACAGATTCGTATAAATAAAGTGCAAGCACACCGTTTTAGTAAACATTACAAGTTATTAGTGAGATCGGCGTTTATTATAAATCAAAATATTTTATACAAATATACTCAACGAGTGACTTTATTCCTCCACAATTAATCTAAAATAAAGATTTATAGTAAAACTGATACCGTACCAATTTAAGTTCCTCTACGGAAATTCTAACCAAATTGCAAATTTCGACTCGTTATAATCTCGTTTCCTGACCATCAGATTTCTGTCAAATCTTCCCCCCAAAGTCCAGGAAATGGCATTTCAGAGACTCTAAATTTAAAAATTTTCCGGGGGGGCACCTGCGGGTAGGAACACCTCGCACCTGCGGCTCGTGCCTTCGGCCCTCGTTTATCAAGCGTCACATTATAGGGGCGCATATTGGTTGATAGCCCACTTGCCCCCCCAGAAAAATAGTACCCAGCACGCCACTGCGCATATTGACGCAAAACGTTTTGGTACAGGGGAATTTTAATGGGCATTTTGTTATAAAAAATGCTTAGCCGTGTTTTAATATACCTTCTACTACGCTTAGCCATTCGCCGGCTTCGTGATAGAGTCAACTAAAACTAGAAGTTACTATCGCACGGCAAGTGCGGCGTTAAATTCTTGTAAAATTAGACAATATGGAATGATTAACTTAATCTTTTCGAGCCAGTTTCAACCTGGCAATATTTTCTTATACTTGTAAACGGATTTTGCACATAGATGTATAAAAAGAATAAAAAATAGTCAGAATAAATAAATATTGTGTGTCTGCTACAAAACATGAGTTCAACTGGATTTGAACTCTAATGCTTATCGAGACAGGCTAAACGACGTACCACTAAGCCATCAGCGGACAACTTGTAATTCTGGTAAAATTAAAAACACAATTACATTGTTGTGACCTGCTCATCTCATGAGGTCAATCTCATTTCGGCCAAAATGTAAAAAAAATTGTTATAGACCGACAGAGAAAGGTTCAAAACGGATATTGATGCAGAACGTTTTGGCACAGGGGAATTTTAATGCGCATTTATAAATAAATAATGCTTAGCCGTGTTTTAATATACTTTCTACTATGCTTAGCTGTTCGCCGGCTTCGTGGATCGACGTGGATAGTGCCAATTAAAACTAGACGTTACCATCGCAAGGCAAGTGCTGCCTTTTAAACCAAAGTCAAATTTAGAAAATTTCCGGCCATTTTTCGGTTTAGATCGACTTAGAAATGTTCAAAACACTTATTGATGCAAAAGCTTTTGGTACAGGGCAATTTTAATGCGTATTTTGATATAAAAAATGCTTAGCCGTCCTTAGCCGTGTTTTACTATACTTTCTACTAGCTTAGCCGTTCGCCGGCTTCGTGCATCGACTCAACTAAAACTAGAAGTTACTATCGCAAGGCAAGTGCTGCCGTTTTAAACCAAAGTCAAACTTAGAAAATTTCTGGCCATCTTTCGGTTTAGATCGACTTAGAAATGTTCAAAACGCATATTGATGCAAAACGTTTTGGTACACGGGAATGTTAATGCGCATTTTGATATAAAAAATGCTTAGCCGTCCTTAGCCGTGTTTTAATATACTTTCTACTACGCTTAGCCGTTCGCCGGCTTCGTGATAGAGTCAACTAAAACTAGAAGTTACTATCGCACGGCAAGTGCGGCGTTAAATTCTTGTGAAATTAGACAATATGGAATGATTAACTTAATCTTTTCGAGCCAGTTTCAACATGGCAATATTTTCTTATACTTGTAAACGGATTTTGCACATAGATGTATAAAAAGAATAAAAAATAGTCAGAATAAATAAAGGGAAAAATATTGTGAGTCTGCTACAATACATGAGTTCAACTGGATTTGAACTCTAATGCTTATCGAGACAGGCTAAACGACGTACCACTAAGCCATCAGTGGACAACTTGTAATCCTGGTAAAATTAAAAACACAATTACATTGTTGTGACCTGCTCATCTCATGAGGTCAATCTCATTTCGGCCAAAATGTAAAAAAAATTGTTATAGACCGACAGAGAAAGGTTCAAAACGGATATTGATGCAGAAGGTTTTGGCACAGGGGAATTTTAATGCGCATTTATAAATAAATAATGCTTAGCCGTGCTTAGCCGTGTCTTAATATACTTTCTACTACGCTTAGCCGTTCGCCGGCTTCGTGGATCGACGTGGATCGTGTCAATTAAAACTAGAAGTTACCATCGCAAGGCAAGTGCTGCCTTTTAAACCAAATCAAATTTAGAAAATTTCGGGCCATTTTTCGGTTTAGATCGACTTAGAAATGTTCAAAACACTTATTGATGCAAAAAGTTTTGGTACAGGGCAATTTTAATGCGTATTTTGATATAAAAAATGCTTAGCCGTCCTTAGCCGTGTTTTAATATACTTTCTACTAGCTTAGCCGTTGGCCGGCTTCGTGCATCGACTCAACTATAAACTAGAAGTTACTATCGCAAGGCAAGTGCTGCGGTTTTAAACCAAAGTCAAACTTAGAAAATTTCGTGCCATTTTTCGGTTTAGATTGACATAGAAATGTTCAAAACGCATGTTGATGCAAAACGTTTTGGTACAGGGGAATTTTAATGCTCATTTTGATATAAAAAAGGCTTAGCAGTGCTTAGCCTTGTTTTAATATACTTTCTTTACGCTTAGCCGTTCGCCGGCTTCGTGATAGAGTGAACTAAAACTAGAAGTTACTATCGCACGGCAAGTGCCGCGTTAAATCCTTGTGAGATTAGACAATATGGAATGATTAACTTAACCTTTTCGACCGAGTTTCAACATGGCAATATATTCTCATACTTGTAAACGGATTTTGCACATAGAGGAATAAAAAGAATATAAAATAGTCAGAATAAATAAAGGGAAAAAAATATTGTGAGTC